ATCTGTGTAATCTCTTCCGGAAAAGACAAGGAAGTTTCCCAACTCACTTTATGCAGCCAGTGCTTCCTTGATATTAAAGTTAAAAAAAAAAAAGATAGTACCAAAAACAAACAAACAAATCCCTATAGATAACATCTCCTATGAGTTTGGATACAAACAAATTCTCAACAAAACATAAGCAAATTGAACCCAGCAATGACTAAAACAAATGACATACCATGTGAGAATTTAAATTAATATAGCCATTATGAAGAACAGGATGGAGGTGCCTCAAAAAACTAAAAAATAGAACCCACAATCCCACTTCTGGGCACATAACCAAAAGAAGTGAATTCAGTATGTTGAAAATATATCCGTGTTCTCATGTTCATTGCAGCATATGCACAATAATCAAGATTCAACTTAAGTGTCATCAGTAGATGAATGGATAAAGAAAATGTGGTATATGTTCATGATAGACTATTATCCAGCCTTAAAAAAAAATTCTGTCTCTGCAATCATATGCATACATGTAGAGACCTGGAGGACATTATGCTAAAGGAAATAAGCTGGGCACAAAAAACACTATATAATCTCACTTACATGTGGTGAACTGCCAGGCACAGTGGTGCATGTCTAATCCCAGCAGCTCAGGAGGCCAAGGAAGGAGGATCACAAATTCAAAACAAGCCTCGGTATCTTAGCGAGATCCTGATCAACTTAGTGAGACCTTGTCTCAAAATAAAAATGATCTGGGGATGTGACTCAGTGGATAAGTGCCCCTTTTTGGCTCAATCTCCAGTACCCAAAAACCAAACACTGGGGCTGGGCTTGTGGCTCGTGGTGGAGCACTTGCCTAGTATGTGTGAGGCACTGGGTTCGAAAAGTTCTATCAACAACTAAAAAAAAAAAAGTTAAAAAAAAAAAAAACCAAAGAGATGAACTCATAAAGCAGAGAGTAGAAAGGTAAGTTACCTAGGGAGGAGGGATGTAGAGACACTGTTCAAGGCATGAAGTTTCAATTAAGAGGAATAAGTTTTCAAGACCTACTGTACAGCATGATGATCATAGCTATTAACATTGTATTATGTATTTCAAAACTGCTAAAAGAATAGAAGTTAAACGTTCTCATTACAAAAAGATGTGTGTGAAGTGATGGATGTGATAGCTTGATATCATTATTCCAAAATGTATCAAACATATATCAAACCATCCTAGTGTACCACATAAGTGTACACAATTATTGTCAATTAAAACCAAAAACTTAAATTTAAGAAAAGAATGATATACCATGAGCAAATGAGATTTATTCTGGGCAAGGCTGATTCAACATTAATCAATCAATGTAATTCCCTGTGAGTGAACGGCAATGCATCTTCCTCTGCTCCTTCCACATCTACACAAAGACATGACCATGCTGGGCGGAAACGCAAACCCTCATTCAAGCCAAGCCCACTGCCTGTCCTCCTCGAGCCCAGATCCCATCTTAGGGTCAGACCCTGGGAAATTCACACTTGAATTTGATTTGCTAAGAGCTATTCACACAAAGATGTCAGAGAACAACATTCCTCCCAAAGGCTCACAGGTCCATTTCTAACTGACTCCCTTTACGCCCTAGCTAAGTCACCTGGTACCTTTCTTACCTTGAAAAGCACCCTAGCTCTAACTGATGGATGCACCAAGCTTGGGTCAAGTATAAAAGACCCTGTCCATTTTCAACTTGCTTTATGAAATAATGAGACAGCATCCATGTGGAGTCCTGGAGGGGGCAACTCCCCAGTCTGAAAGCTCATTCTGTTCTCTGCAGTCCAGTATCAAGTGTCAGGCAATTTTGGCTACAAGTGGAACTTATCCCAGTTCTTGCTTACAAAAATAAGAAGCTCTGCAAAGGGGCCTGAGGTACAGTTCAGTGGTAGAGTGTTTGCCCAGCATGCATGAGGCCCTGGGTTCCATCCTTAGTACAGAGGGTAGAGGGGGTCTGCAAGGTTTATGGATCTTATGAACCTAAAATGTGTACAAGTCTTCAGTCTTACTATAAAACTATTCCTAGGTCTACTTTTTGATATTAAAGTTGCTCTTAAAAGTTTTGAAGTAAATTGGGAAAAACTCAAATCTAAGTTCAAATTCAATTGTTGACAAATACCAAAACATAAATTCAAGTTCAACTGGCTCTGAAGTTGTGAGTCAGAGGGGTGTCATTTAACTCTCACCTAGACCTGGCTCAGAGCACGTATGCAGATTTGCAGCAGGGAAGGGTGTAGCTCTGGATAAATTTGCTAACCTTTGTTGCTTTGCAGAATCTGAAGATAAGCAGCATGGATTTTCTGGCAAGAAATTCACACAATAGTCAATCATACTTATATCAATCCACCTAATGGGTATAACACCAGGTACACTGCTGCCTTCTAAGTGAAAGACACTCTGAAGCTGGCACAATAATTATGGAGAAGATTGATCTTGGGGAACCTTGAGATGAAACATGGCCCTGGCATGTTTCAAAACCCTGGAGCCTTACAGAAAAGGCGGCATCCATGTGGACCCTCAGAAGCCCATATCAGCAGCTGCTTCAGGAGTAGGTAAACATGTCTTCCCATATCTGCTAGAGTTCTTGGGTAGCCAGCCAGGGAGCTGCCACTGTGCACAGATGATCAAAGTAGGTACAATGTCAGAGGTCCCAGTCTTCTTCCATACCCTTCTCTGTGCACCTCACCCCCATGGAAGCTGAAAGCTGCCCGTGCTGTACTCCCAACCTACCCCTCCCCACATCCTAGAGAGATGCACCTATAGTTTCTAAATCGGCCTTAATCCTAACTATCTGCAGATCATTTTTGTTTTTGAATAAAAGATTATCTTCTAGACTTTCCTGAAAAGCAAGTCTTTGGGTTTTATTCACACTTCCTTAACTTTCTCATTTTTGTTGGCTGCGTCTTATATTGGAACCAACTATATCCTGTCAGATGTAACATTCACTTCCTTGTGTGGACTCCAGGCATGAGTCCCCATAGCAGGCAATGCAGAGCCACATGCTGAATTTACTTTCTCAGGAGTTATATCATCCCTGAAAACTAAGAGTGAGAACATTCTACAAGCCAATAATACAACTATATGCAGTCTGCCATGAACCCATGGAAACAGGACAATTCAATGAATGGTGGATAAAACAAACCAACAAGAACTTCCAAAACAGTAACTCAACTTCCCCTCCAGTCTGCCCTCCTCCAATAGTAAAAGGAGACACCAAAATTTTGCTGGGACCTTCCAAACTGAAACCAGTTCTGGTTAAAAATTAAAAAAAAAAAAAATCTTTGTGTATGCCTCCTGCCCAGTTCTCTGACCACAGTCTCCAAATTCCTCCTAGAGTTGGTTCACCTTTCAGATGGGAGACAGCAAGACACTAAAATACCTTGCAAGTAAAAATTTTAAATTGCTGCCCCCACCATGCAAATGTTTTACTGCAGTATTGAACTCTTCTTGTGGTCCATTAAATTGTTGTCCTATTCTAGGTAAGTGGGGATATTTTAAATAGATCTCAAAGTGGGTACTTGAAGTTCAGTGTTTCTTTAAAATGCTCTAACACTGACTGATATCTGAGAATATTCTACAAGTACTAAAAAATTAAAATAGCCAATGTAGCAATGGAAATCCCAGCACTGAATCTTCCAGGTGTGGGAGCATTAAGCAAATTTACTCAGTGAGTTGCAGCACTGAGCCCATTGTGTGCCAGGTGCATGGGGCTGTCAGATGATGAATGTTTCAGGGATCTGACCAAACACCAGGAGCAAGGAGTGGGAGGGTCACGTACAACATGCACCTCTGCTGAAATCTGAAGGAACTGCTGGGAAGCTAAAAAACAACACCCAAGGAAGCTGAGACACAGGTGGCTTCCTGGTTCCTGTCTCAGGTGAGGTTTGGTGTGCAGCCCTGCGAGTCACAACAAGGAACTGAGGGGCCAAGCCAGGTGCAGATGGTTCAAGCCGAGCACAGCCCTCCCTGCCTGAGGATTGGGCAAACCCTTACATACTCTACCATGTTTCTAAGAAACTGGTGTGGGCACAGTTTGCTTGACCCATGTAGAAGCTAGGCAAAAGCCAGATGGCCTGACTCTCCATGTCCTAGGGCAGCCCTGACTCTCCCCTGCCAGGGATCATGGATCCTCACATAAATGGGCATGGTAATGTACACAGCTAGGTGTGTAGGGACTCACATGTAAAAATCCTTTTATTAAACAATGTTCAGTTGTCCCTCAGTATCCATGGGGATTTGTTCCAGGACCTGTGCAGATACCAAAATCTGAGTCTCATATATAAAATGGCATAGTATTCACATAGAACTTACAAACATCCTCCTGCATACTTTAAACTATCTCTAAGTGATTTGTAATTCCATGTAAATACTATATAAACAGATGTTCGAGTTCATTGTTGAGGGAATAATTACAAGGAAAAAAAAACTATACATGTTCAAAACAGACCTAGTTTTTTAATATTTTTGATCCACAGTTACTTGAGTCCACAAATATAGGACCAGTGGATGGATGTGGTCAATACATATAATATATATATTTCCTATTACTAACAAGTTTTATGCTTATTTAATTTCTTCTCCAAATTCTTGAAATAAGTTGTGTTTCTTCAGGGAGTACAAGTTTACCTTGCGCAAAATGTCATTTTTTTTCCTCCTGAAAAATTTTAACACTCAGTGAGGGGATAAAACATGAGTCTGTGGGAAAATGCAGTGTGTCTCACCCGGATAATTATGTGGAAATGCTATGAAAGGGCAGGAGAGAGGTCTTTCATCGTGTCCCGATATCAAATGACTGACTGTAAGAGAGAAATCTTTTGAACAGACAATGAACTGCAATGTGACATTTGATTTCCAAAGCTTGCCCTGCGTCTCTGGAATAGAGCAAGCAGCATCGAGTGCCCTTTGACTTTCCCAGCTCCCAGGGTGTCTGAGGAAGTCACTTCTGCTGTCCTGCTCAACTGTGGAAAGTGGGGGGTAGGGGGGCAGGGCACATGCACCTCCACCAGCCTCCAGGCCTCACTGATGATTGCATACTGTAAGCGGTTCAGGACAAAGCCGTCAATCTCCTTCAGGACTCGCACAGGGGACTGTCCAATCTTCTTCATCAAGGCGTGGGTTCTGTCCATTGTTGCAGGGGCCGTCTCTGGGTGAGGGACCAGCTCGACCAGTGGGACATAATATGGAGGATTCACCTTGGGAGAGGGAGAGAGAAGAAGGGTCAAGGAGATGCTCTGGGGAGTGTTGCTCTGGCTGATTGGGCCCACCTATCCCAAATGGTCTGGGTCGGGGTGGGTGTATCTTTGGAAAGGCCCTTAGATTCAGTATCTAATGACAAAACACCTGAAAAAGAAATGCATTCACAAGAAGAGAGAAAAGAGAATTTGAGCACAGAACTGCATAGTTATCAACAGTGATGGGGCCCCTTATGTTTCAAGCAATAGAGAGAGAGGAGAGGAGTGAGTCAAAGGGCTCCTGCTTAGAAAGGTTAAGGGACAAACACACTATCTTAAACACTTTCCTTTCTGATGGGCCCTTCTGCTATAAGACTGTGAGGCAGACTAGGAGACACATCCCCCAGGAATTTGGAAGACAAACACTCAGAAAAGGAGGCAGTTTCTCCAAAGTTTCCGGGGATGGTCCCTGTGCTCAGCCCAGGCAGGGTGCGCGTGGCCGGAGGTACAGAGAGGGGCTGCAGCTGCCAGGCTCTGTAGGAGCCTAGGCTGGGCCAGGCACAAGGGGAGCATTCTTCCTCCTGTCGGGTATCTGAAACAGAGCCTGGTGCATGTGATTGCAGATAGCACAGCGCGCCAACACAGGCTTCCTTCACCCTCTCTGGGCACATGGAACCAGTCAGCCCCATAGGAGAGGCAACCAGCCCTCCCAGGAGACAGCCAGACCATTGACAATTCATCCACATACAGCAGAGGAGGGGGCAGATTCCTTTTCCCCTTCCCAGGATGAAAACGCAGGCTAAAGATGAGTGGTGGAGAGTATTGAATACCTCTATTTTTGTGTTTTGCTACTTTCTGTAGTTGGTCCTCTCATCTCACAGAGAGAGCTAAAAGGCATTCTCTGGGCAGCAGCAGCACCAAGCTTGGACCAAGCAGTACCATACAGATATACAAAGAAATGCACAGAAACACACCTGCTCTTAAAAGCAGCAAGCCCATAAACTAAATATGTACATGACAACCAACACAAGGGCAAATGGTTTGTGTGTCAGACAGAAGGGTGCATCAGAAAAGACACAAGTGTGGGCAAAGGTGGCTGGGGGAGCCTCCTGGTACTTTACAGAAGGAAGCAGGCCCTGATCTAATTCTAGGCAGCACTGGAGCTCAGTGGTGGACCAGATACATGTTTGGGGCCATGCATCCTAAAAACAATGCCTCTTTTTCTGGCTGTACTGTCTGCAGGCAGGCTGCCCCCTTCCAGAGAGCATCATTCACAGAGCAGAGCACTGGGGGGCTAAGGAGACCTCCATCACATCCACCAGTCCATCATGATCCCCAAACTGAGCTCAGGAAGGAAAAAAAAGGGAAGACTTTGTAGAGTGTGGCTAAAGTATCAGTAGAACCCTCTCCTGCTTTGACTGATGGCTGACACAGATTCTAAGTAACAGTAAGTATTGAGATGAAATGCAACTTCCAGACAGTCCTTCACTAACATGCTCTAGGGGCCATACTGTTATATCTAAACTCCTGTACACCAGAATTCTGGAGTCATCACCTCAGAGAGATGAAGTAGATGAAGAAAGTCACACACACACACACACACACACACACACAAAATGAAAGGAAGAATGTTCAGAATAGAGAGAATGGCTGCGTTAATACCCATCTTCCTGAGCCTTTCATGTGTGATGTCCACCCACAGCCCCTTTTGTTGACTTTAGTCTAGGAAGCCCACACTAAAATACTCTGCACTGACACCACATGCCAATCCTGTCAGCACCTTCCACTCACCTCACGGTGCTGAGGAAGGTGAGTAAAAGGTGCTTTAACTCCTATAAAAGGTGCCCGAGAGAAATGTGGATGTCACAACATGTAGGCTAGTGACTTCTCTGTACTGGGGTGGACATGGCAGTCTTTTGCAATTGCTGAATGTCCCAGGGCCTTTCAGGAGCATGAAGCCTCCTCCTCTTTCATCCTATTTCCTGTCCAGACAAAGATAACTGACAACTGAAGGACTGAGGATGGGAGCTAGGCACTCAACTTCTCCTTTCTGGCCTGGGAAACTCTGGATCCTCAAAGCTTATCAATGGTTCTTGACTACTTAAGACTACCTGTCCAACTTATTCAAGATTATTTCCCCCCATTCACGTAGATGCCAGTGGAATGACTGAAAAATGAAGAAACAAAATTCTGAAGATGGTTAACTTGGATTATATGATTTGCTTTTAATTAACATTAGTTTTGGTTAAAATACTTCATAAAAGCAACAAGAGATTAATTTTGGCAATAAAGTTTGGATTTACTTTAAATATGCTCTTTGTCTTTGATTAAACAAGTAAAAGCAAAAAGTACCTGGATGAGACAATAGGGATGATGGAAAAAATGTCATTATTCAAGTTATTGATCATCCTGCTAGTCAAGAGTATTTTGCTGTGTTTAGTGTAGAAGAAAGTGAATCAGGAGTAATCTTACCCATTGGATAGTTTAAAATTGAACAGATGTGGGAAAAGTCTTGTCAAAGAATATAAGAAGTAATTTCTGAACAATTTGATTTAGTTTAGATTTTCTTTTTAATTTTTTAAAACTAATTTAAAAGCAAAAATACTGGTTAGAAATTGGGAATTTTCTAACAAGCAAAGACCCTCCACTGAAGCAATCAGTTTAACAATCTAAATAGTAGCTTACAGGTTCCAAGAGCCCTTTTGTGGACACATCTATGCCATAGAAGGAAAGATGTCACAGGCTTCGTGGGACTTGATTTGGGTGCTTTCAGATAGGCTCCCTCCTGGTTCAAACCTCACTTACATTTGCATGGTAACTAAGCTGCTCAGTGGTATTCCAGGCAGTTCCTCTTCTGGGCATACAAAATTTGATGGGTATCCACCTTTCTGAGCAAACCTGGTACCTCCCCACTCTCAACTGCTGTTGCTCAAAAGAGGAATTTCCCTACACTCAATCCTAGGCCCTGTCACGCATGTTTAGCTACATGTCCTATGTTGTCATTGCTCCCCTCTCTGACCCATCTTCGCTGGATTCAGTTCTTCAGAGTAACACAGTTCTCTATAAACCAACTATAAGTTGAGCATCCCTGACCCTAAAATCTGAAATTCAAACTTGCTCCAGAAATCTGAAGCTTTTTTTTTTTTTTTTTTATGATACTTGGAATGGAACTCAGGAGCACTATCACTGAGCCACATCCCCAGCCCTTTTTATTTCTTATTTTGAGACAAGTTCTTGCTAATTTGCCAATGATGGCCTTAAACTTGTGATTCTCCTGCCTCTCTGCCTATGGAGTCACTGTGATTACAGGTATGAATCACTATGGCTGGGAGAAATCTGAAAATTTTTGAGCGCAAATGTGTAGCTCAAAAAGTTTTGAGTTTTAGAGCACTTCAGATTTGGCATTTTAGGATTAGGCATACTCAACTGATAAAGTCAATGCAAATATTCCAAAATCTAAAACACTTCAAAATTTGGAATGTTCTTGTCCCAGGCATTTCAGATAAGGGATACTTAATCTATATTCTAGAGCCTTCCAACTTTCTCCTACTGATCCCCAAGTATGTTGGCTCTCTCAGCCATACTGGTCTCCTTAACATCCTACATGCCTATGTGTGTTCTTGGTCTAGGGTCTTTGCTTATGCCCTTCCCAAGTGTCAAACACTCTTTCCATCATCAGCCCAACCAGATCCTATCCAGGCTGGCCCAGCTGCTCTGTGTAGCTTCTTCCTACCCTTAACCTCTGATGACTGGGTGATACCAAGGGTGTGACCACCATTATGTACTATCATATTTATCATGGCTTGGCCAAGTTAACTTTCCTGCTCTAACAGGCTGCCCTGGTTCTCCAAGGTCATGCTGAGCTCACTGTCAGGACTCAAATGTCATTCACTGAGTGATCCTTAAATCTTTCCCAGTATTAATACCTTAACCTCAAAAAAGATTCCTTGAGTGCTCACATGCCAATTTGGAACCCATTACTCAATCAATCTCATAACATACTCATAGTAAGGAAGTTTGCCTAGTAGATTACAAAGGATGGTGAAAGGGAACAATAGGAAAGGAAGGGTTTAAAGCCAAACCTGACTCTCACAATCTCAGAAGTGGGCCAGGATCTGTACTTAAACAAAAATGACCTCATTCTGAATTGGTTGAGTAGAAGAGTTACTTATCTACAAAATCCTACTCAACATATGCATTTTTATCATAGCAGTTTGACTTCAGGGGTGAAATTACTTGTTTAGTTGTCAGCCTCCTCAGCTACATGATGAGTTACTCGGGGGCTAAAACCTCAAACATTGCTCATTCTATGCCTTGACGCCTTAGGCACACAGATAAAAATCCAACAGATTTTTAGACATTCTTTTTTTAAATGCTAGTATTTCACAAGTCTAAATATACTAAAAACTAATGAACTATATGATTTTAATCAGCAGATTGCATGGCATGTGAATTATATGCCAATAAAGCAGTTTAAAATACTAGTAGATTTGTTGGAATTTATTGTATCCCCCTCCAAAAATGGAATGAGATACAATCAATTCTCCCAATTTCTGATTTTTTTTTTTTTGACAGAGTCTGCTATGTTGCCCAGGCAGGCCTCAAACTCCTAGGATTGAGTGATTCTCCTGCCTCATTGTCCTGAGTAGCTGGAACCACAGGCACATACACCGCACCTGGCTCCCAGGTTTAAAATACTCACAGGATGAGCCACGATACATTGCTTCACGTGCACCAAACCCGCAAACAGCTTGGAAGGCATCAGGCAAGAGGTGGAACTGCTCAAGACGACTCTATCGTCGACAATGCGATCTAGCTGAGCAAAAATCTTCTTCTTCAGGTCTAGATTTTCAGGAACACATTCCTAGAAAGGACATATTTAATGACAGCTCATGATTGCCAAACACAGGCCCCAAGCAAGGCATTGTATGTTTGCTTCATTCTGAAAGTGAATTAATTTGGAAATGCTAGTGTTCTGGGCACACTACACCATCGTGTAGTACCTTGGCATTTGAAACCGAGGCGGAGAGATCTCCATAACCTTTTCCCACCCTTCTCTCCTAAAGCAGACTATAAAAAGTTCTCTGCCTTCCCCTAAGGCAGGTCATAAGATTATCATTCCAGAGGTGCCCTCTCTGTACCTGGGAAAGGAATGTCCTTATCTCTGAAGACAAGGACATACAGAAGAATCTGAACAAACAGGTCTTGCTGAGTCCCCCACTTTATGAACACTAGGACATCCCTCTTTGTCCAGTCACACTCTACATGACTGTCCACTCTTCATCTAAACTGAGCACAAAAATACACAGGTTTCCCTGTTTTTTTGTTTGTTTGTTTGTTTGTTTTGGGGGGGGGGGGGGGGGCAATGAGTGTCTTCATTTCTGAAAGCTCCCATGTCATATAAAACTTCTATTAAAAATATATTGTGTACTTTTATTAATCCATATTTTGTTACAGGGGTCTCAGCCTTGAATCTTGTGATAGGTGAGGAAAAGAGTACTTTTTTTTATCCCCTACAAAAACCACAAGCAAAATTTAAAAATGGAAAAGCTTGCTAAAGATATGTGAGAAATCTTGAGAACTCTGGAAAGGGAGTGATGAATACACGGGAGTTTGTTGTTTTGTGTAGGTCTGAAAATTCTTATAATAAAAAAATCTACCAGGGATCTGGGGGCGCAGTTCAGTGGTAGAGTGTTTGCCTAGCAGGCACAAAGCCCTGGGTTTGATCCCTAGCTCCACAGAAAGAAAGAGAAACAGACAGACAAAGGAGGGAGGGCGGGAGAGAGGGAGAAAAGTAAGGAGGGGAAGAAAGGAGAGAGAAGAGCAATGGAAGCGGGTAAAGTCTGCCAACTGAAAATTCTCATCAGAAAAAGTCTGCCAGCTAAACAGGGGTGGATACTACAACATAACCCATAATAGCACCTCCAGCAAACGGCTGTAAACCTCAACAGTGTCATTACCACTTATTTCCCCTCTCTGTTCTGAGCATCAGCTCAACCTATCTTCAAGGAAAAATCTCATTCTCATGAAATGAACAAACATGTTACATCCACGATTCCCAAAAGTCTTCTTGAAAATTCATTTCTAATTCTGAAAAAAGAACTTTGTTTCTAACAACTGAAAATTGCTTTAGTAGGGGCAGGGAGGGGTGATAGAGAAGTAAATTTAGATTCATTATTGCACATAACAACCACTCTGAAACTGTAATCACACAGCTTAAGTGAGAGTGAGATGACATCCCAACAAACCGGTGTTGACCCACAGATGATGCATGTTCCTGGAACCCAGGATGAGGTGGACAATGGGGTCCTGTTGTGGAAGTGAACAGGAGGAGGATGTTTGAGCTGCTCTGACACTCTGGAAAGACTGCAGCTGTTTTGTCCCTCCTGCCATCTGCCCCTCAAGGGATCACATTGGGGTTCACTCCTGCCCAAGGTGGGTCCCTGCTCACCTGGGTGGCAACAGATACTCTAAGAAAGGACACATAGACTCCCAACATTCATGGTGACTTTAGCACCACTAATCTAACTATGTTCCAATAACTGCCAGTCAGTATCAACTGAGTTCTTGTTAAAAATGCAAATTCTCAGGCCTACTGAATCAGAACGACTAGAGGTGGAGTCCAGGCATCTGCATTGTTACCAACCACTCTGAGGATTCCTCTGCTGACTAATATTTGGGAACCACTATTCTGAGAAATGTGGATCCAAAGTGTGGGTACCTTACTACCCTTAACAAAAGGGTAGTGAGTGGTGTCTCTTGGCCACCTTTATGTTGGGATTCCCCCTTCCCTAGCTACTCAGGGACAACCAAGAATGTCCTGACAGAAAATAGAAGTATATTGGTACTGTGGTCATTTCATGTGCCTCTAACCACCTGGCTAATTTCACTAAAATGTTAAATACCATACAACGTAGTGAACATAATAGTGAAAATAACCAGAAGTGTGCAACAATAGAAATTCAGAGTTGGAATACTGCTAAAAACTATATCACAATCACTCTTTAAAAATAAAGGAAATCTTTTCAAATTTGATTTAATAATATAAAATACTTAATAACATAGTAGTATCTAACATTGAAATCAACTATGTAAATATTTGGAATGTTCATTTTACTTCTATATCATATACATATGATTTAAAGAGTTTTGTCCAAAGGGGAGGGAGTCAATATTGTATTTGTTTATACTTTTAAAAAATATAATCAAGCCACGTGAAATTTTATTAAGAACAAAAGGTCATATAAGCACCACAACTCAAAGACAGAAGAAAAAAACTGAGTCATTTAAGAACTGTAAAGCCCATTGTGTTAAATCCCCTTATCAAAAGAGGAAAAAGAGCTACAGTAGCTGGCTAGTCGTATTGAGTAATTCCTGGATCAGTTAAGTCTGCAAGTTGGGTTAAGTTTAAATGGAGCCTTGTAGCCAAGCCAGAGACTAAGAATGATGTAGATCCCGTGTAAGCTAATAAAAAAGAGCAGTGGTGAATGGCTTCATTGTACGCCTGTCATGCAGATTCTCCCCTGAAATTCTATGCCTTTCTTCAGATCGTCTGATTATCAAAGAGGCAAGAAAACTTGAACCAGAGGAAACCCAAACCTGCTACAATTATGTAAGGGTTTCTAGTGGCACGTTGGCTTGAAGTTGGGTTGTTCTTGTTGCTGTTTCTAAAGGCAACCCAATTGCACGAGATGTGCTGGGTCTCTATCCATGTCATACCCTGAGTTCATCACTTTCTATTTATTCAGGTACCCCTGGTCTGCCACACTACATGGGACCCCATGGAGCTGCACTGCCTACCTTAAAGCATGAATTGGAAATTCATTGTCTATGCCTTCTCAAATCCATCCTGTCTTTGAGGGGCCCTTTCTAGAGAAAGTCACCAAATGTGAATGTTAGTACTAACTACTATCCCTACCACAGGTAATCAGCTTGCCTTGGCCTAATTAAAGGTTGGCAGCATCTCTTAAAAAAAGAGATGAAGCACTGATTTTTGTTTGCTTGCTTGCTTTTTGTTTGTTTTGAGGGACAGAGATGTTTAACAAATAATATTGTCATGCACAAACACCACCATAGGCTACCTAGGTTTTGATAAACAGAACAAAATGCTAGGAAGTAAATTCAACAGAATTTTACTTCCTAGCGTTTAGTGAAAAAAAAGAGCTTCCTCTTACTCACTCTTCACTCTCACTGCCTGTCCTTTTGCCCTTCCCAAAGAAACTGAATGATGGTATTACAGGTATAACTTTTTCTAAGTGTATGTGTGTGTGTGTGTGTGTGTGTGTGTGTGTGTTTTAAAAGTAGATCACACATAAATGTTAGTATTTTATTAGTAGTAAAAGCCACCTGGGTAGTTCATTTAATTCCCAAGTATTCTACTTTGGAAAATCAGAACAGCCATAGCAAGTCAGCTTACTGGATAATTCCCAGGGAAGGGAGTGCTAGTAAATATGCACTTTTGAAGATTTATTCACTTGCTATGCAACATATACTTTCTAAAAATGTATGAAATGAATAGTAAAAAGGAAATGTTGTTGATATTTTTCCCCAATCAACCGAGGCATTTTAAATAGACAGTCTGTCACTAGAAAATCTACATTTGCTTGTGACAAGTATCTGGAAGCAATCTTCAATATGTTTTCCAGAAAGAAAAACCAAATTAAAGGACTTCTGTACTTAAAGTAGTTTACAAAGAAGTTCTAGTAGCAATTTTAAAGTGAGAAAGAGACATGGCTAGAAAAGACAGAGGATCCAAAGTCTTGTTGTAATCATGGCAGCAGAAGGGAATTCATGCTTAGGTTGAAGATGAAAGCTATCTACATTACTATCTTTCTGCTAACATCAGCTGAATCTCCTGCTTCAATCTGTCTAATTAACACCCCCAGCTTCTCTTCCAAGTTTCTTCCAAGAGTACAATCTCAATTCTCTTCCAAGAGTACAATCTCAATTCTTTCAGATTAATAAACTCTTATGACCATACTTCTCAAGAGGTGAACAGGAGGAGGGGAAAAGGGAGAGGAAGTGGGGAGGAGGTTTTCTGTTCTAGAAGAAGTAGTATAATATATTTTTTTAAAGAGAGAGAGAAAGAAAGAAAGGCAAAGGGTAAATTAGTTTCAACATCACAGGCAATCTATGGCACTTCCCTAACCAGTAGCTCATTTTTTTCCCCTTAAAAATCAAGTTCAAAGTTGCATGTGACTGTAGAGATTTCTAGCCATGTCTCTTTCTCATTTTAAAATTGCTACTAGAGGGGCTGGGGATGTGGCTCAGGTGGTAGCGCGCTCGCCTGGCATGCATGCGGCTCGGGTTCAACCCTCTGCACCACATACAAACAAAGATGTTGTGTCCGCCGAAAACTAAAAAAAATAAATAAATAAATATTAAAAAATTATCTCTCTCTCTCTCTCTCTTTAAAAAAAAATTGCTACTAGAATTTCTCTGTAAACTACTTTAAGTACTGTACAAATTTCTACAGTCATCTAGGACAAATCATACGCAATCAAGAGAGAACTTTTCAAAGTAAAAATCTGTGTCGAGTATGTTTAGGAATTAACTTCCTGGGGCTTAGGTGTTCCACTTGCAAGGATCATTGTTGTTTGCTTTAATCTAAAGATCAGTCCTTTCTCAGGGTTACCACAAACCCACAGGAGGAGAGCCTGGCATGGGCTTCGTTGTTCTCCTGCTATGTGTCTATTCCCATCCTCATTCCAGTAATATTTTGGCACTATTTATAAATCATTTACTTAGAACTTAAATGCTTCACATGAAAAAAACCCACAATTTTAAAAACTATTTAAGACTGCAATTATCCTATAGTTTGACCATACTTCTAATATTTCTCATGAGGAAAAATCGAGTTTGTTT